ATGGAAAGATGTGTCTGGATAAGAAACCATTCCGTCTTTTCCAGTAAATCTGGAATGACCAGAACTAGAGCAGCCATGGAGACACCAAACACAGGAAGATGCTTTCACAGTCTTCATTAGCCTGAAGCTAAGAGGAGGAGTTACTCAGGTAAAACTCAGGTAAAGGTGCAGTTGTGGGTCGGAACCAGGTAGAGACGGAGCAGGTACGAGGAGCGGGCCAGAGACGTGGAGGCAGTCAGGTTGTTGGCGAGGGCCAGGCGTGGAAACGAGGTCACGAGGCTACGATCAGGCGTCCTCTTGTGGCTGTGTACTTGGCTTCATATGGAGCCGCGTCCCCTAATTGGTTGTTCCTGTCATGTGATCCGGACCTCGTCTCAGTGTGTCTTTAGTGACCCAGCGTCCTGCTCACTTTAGAACAGGATGTAGGATTTTAGTCGTCGTCAGCCTTTAAAGACGTCATCACCACAGTCAGGTGAGTGGGCGGAGCTTGGAGTCCTGCAGCTGAAGGGTTAGGCTCCTTTAGTTCTCCTGGTTCCTGTTTGGATTTTAAAAATAAACAGGAAGTGAGCGTTTAGCTCGCGCCCATGTTTCTCTGCTGACTGTGTGGATGAAGTATCAGGTGGCTTCTGTTCAGAAGATGCTCTCCAGCACGCGTCTCCCGCAGACGGGAGCGAGTTCAATGAGTCCTCCACTTCCTGTTTGGACCCGAGAGGCTCGGCGCCACAGTCAGGAGCTCTTAGTGAAGCATGCATGCTGCTTCCACCTGCTCACTGGTGTCTGAGCACAGATTGGTAGTGACACGCACACACACACACACACACACACACACACTCAGAACTCTGACTCACTGTCTGCTTCAGCATCTGGACTGAAATCCTCGTTAAAACCCAGGAAGTGTTTCTGCGCGTCGTTTCTGTTAAACGTTAAAACGTCTAAATGATCCAAACTCCGATTTTCCCACATTTGGAGAGAAGAGATCAAATCTTCCATGAGAAAACTTTTCTCTGAACTCTGAACTCTGAACTCTGTGACGGAGGGACGACTCAATAACGCAAACAGATCTGGGCTTCCTTCCCTCTGCCTCTCCTTCTGCTGCGACGTTCCCACAATCCACCTGGTGCCACGTCTGTATGAAACCTACAGAATGAAAACGAAATGGAGGGGTGTGTGTGTGTGTGTGCGTGCGTGCGTGCGTGCGCGTGCGCGCGCGCGTGTGTGTGTGTGTGTGTGTGTGTGTGTGTGTGTGTGTGTGTGTGTGTGTGTGTGTGTGTGTGTGTGTGTGTGTGTGTGT